CAAAAGTCCTCCAGAAAAGTTTCCAAATTCTTGTAGGAAACAAATAATATTAAAGGCAGATAAATTATTATAAAGCTATTATAAAATTCTCTTATTGTCTCCAAAAGCCTTTGTAAATATGGTTACCTATGGCTAACTGATCTGTGATTTAATAAATTAGTTCAACTGGATTCACATTCCAGGCTAGATAATAAATCAACTACACGGGTTGGATTTTCCCACTCTCCTAGCTTGTCAACAAGTAAGTTTGAGTTAGCACCTCAGGATAATCTTTTAGCTCAAAAATGAGCATCCCTACTCAGAGAAATTCATACAGTCTCAACCCAGGTAGCTTTTTTGCAAGATATTGAAGACCTGACTGATTCCAAAGACATTTGTATCAGGTGAGGGGGTCATTACTTATCCTTGGGTGCTGGTGGGTTTGTGCATTTTAATCCTGCAAATCCCCTGAGCTACCTGTGTAAAATGAGAAGATATATAAACAAGATTTACTTCAGAGTTGAAGTGAGCACCTGCTCCAGGTGTAATTGGACAGATAGCAGGTTCAAACTCTTGGCTAACTAAATAAAAGCACAAGTACAACTGGTCAAAGTTACTATGGACTCGAAAAAAGTTAGCTGTTGTTCTATCCCCAGAGCATTTACTTCTTGGCAGGAGACAGTTAATTTCTTTCTCTTTAGCTAGTTATGGGTAAAGTTTAGCAATCCTGACCTTCCTGGCCAAAACAGGTGCAGCATGTTCCCTTCAGAAGGAAGTGTTCAGGGAATGTTACTTACTTCCTCTTTCCTGTCTTGCCATTTCAGGTTACAAGCATAGGTGGTGATAGAAATAAAGGAAATGTCTTCAAATTTTAATATTGAAAGAGAAATTTAAAATTGAATTTGCTGCAGTGGAAATTTACTGAGTGGAGAAGCAAACTATAATAGATGGGAAACAGGAAAGGATAGTATAAAGGCAGGATGTAAGATAAATATGTAGGCAAAAATTAGCTGGGTCTTAGAGTGGGAAAGGAAGAAGACAAGCTATAAAAACATCTGTAAGAGGAAATGGCTAGCCAGGGAAGCTTAACTAAACTGAAAAACAGGAAAGAACCTATTGTCCTAAGGGGCCCAGAATTCAAAACCAACAATTGAATATGTCTAATATTTTATATTATTAATGTACATGTGATGTATGATTTAGTACATAGCAGGAAATAGTAGAAGGCAGTTGGAAAGAGTGTAAGCTCATAGTACCTCAGCCAATGGGGAAAGAGGAGGGATGTGGCGGCCGGGACAAGGGATGTATAAAGAAGGAAATATTTTGGGTTAAAACTTTGGAGAGAACCAAGCTTTGATAGCTTCTCTCCCCGCTTATTGCAATAAATGAAACAAAAGGCCTTCACTGTGTCTTGGCTGGTTATTGGTCAAGCGAGCTTGCTTCTGGTCACGAAGTAAAGTGGCTAGGAGCACATAACAGTAAGAAAGAGAAGGGAAGTGAGGCCATTCTAGCCTCCACCTTCTCTCAAGAGGTGACCAGCATATCCTTATAAACCTTTAGGCAGTTTAGGCCCTGGAGGGGGTATAGGGGCAGTTACACTTTTGGCCATCTTATAGCTAAGAGCACAAGGCCAGTATGTAGGCTACGTTACAGCTAGGAGCATATGCAGTGGTGGGATTGAAATACCTGAACAACTGGTTATCTTATTGGATTCAGGCCTGGGCCTCCGAAGCCTAGAATGGACTTATGGAAATTGCATCCATGAACTTCCGATGGGATGTTCTAGGCCTGGGTGGCCCACAAAAGAGTCCAAACAAAAAGCTGTTATGTTCCCTTTCATTTGAGAACCTCATAGAATCTAGCCTTAACTCCCCTTTTCAGCCCTGACTGCAAATGTATCTAACCCTAACCCTAACCCTAGCACTAACCCTAACCCTTCTTTTCACTGTCAATGGGATTTTCCCATGTATTTCACTGCGGCCTACAAAAGAGTCTGACCAAAAAGTTGTTATGTTCTCTTTCCTTTGAGAACGTCCTAGAATCTAGCTCTAACACCCCTTTTCAGCCCTGACTGCAAATGGATCTAACCCTAACCCTAACCCTACCGCTAACCCTAACCCTAACCCCTTTTCAGCCCTGACTGCAAATGGATCTAACCCTAACCCTAACCCTACCGCTAACCCTAACCCTAACCCTACCGCTAACCCTAACCCTAACCCTAATTTTCATTTTAATGGGAATTTCCAATGTATTTCACTGCGGCCCACAAAAGAGTCTGAACGAAAAGTTGTTATGTTCTCTTTCCTTTGAGAACTTCTTAGAATCTAGCCCTAACACATTGTTTCATCCATGACTGCAAAATGATCTAACCCTAACTCTAACCTAGCCCTAACCCTAACCCAACTTTCATTTTCATAGTCAATGGGATTTTCCCATGTATTTCACTGTGGCCCACAAAAGAGTCCCAATGAAAAGCTGTTATGTTCCCTTTCCTTTCAGAACCTCCTAGAATCTAGCCCTAATACCCCTTTTCATCCGTGACTCCAAATGGATCTAACCCTAAACGTAGCCCTAACCCTAACCCTAATTTTCATTGTCAATGGGATTTTCACATGTATTTCACTGTGGCCCACAAAAGAATCAGAATGAAAAACTGTTATGTTCCCTTTCCTTTGAGAACCTCCTACAATCTAGCCCTAACACCCCTTTTAAGGCCTTACTCCAAAGGGATGTAACCCTAACCCTAACTCTAGCCCTAACCCTAATTTTCATTTTCAATGGCAGTTTCCCATGTATTTCACTGTTTCAGCTGTTATGTTCTCTTTCCTTTGAGAACCTCCCTACAGCCTTTTTCATCCATGACTGCAAAGTGATCTAACCCTAACCCTAGCCCTAACCCTAACCCAACTTTCATTTTCATGCTCAATGGGATTTTCCCATTTATTTCACTGCGGCCCACAAAAGAGTCAGAACGAAAAGCTGCTATGTTCCTTTTCCTTTGAGAACTTCCTAAAATCTAGCCCTAACACACTTTTTCATCCATGACTGCAAAATGATCTAACCCTGAACCCTAACCCTAACCCTAGCCCTAACCCTAACCCTAACCCTAACCCTAACCCTAACCCTAACCCTAACCCTAACCCTAACCCTAACCCTACCCAACTTTCATTTTCATGGTCAGTGGTATTTTCCCATGTATTTCATTCCTGCCCACAAAAGAGTCCAAATGAAAAGCTGTTATGTTCCTTTTCCTTTGAAAACCTCCTAGAATCTAGCCCTAACACCCCTTTTCAGCCCTGACTCCAAACGGATTTAGCTCTAACCCTAATCCTAACCCTAGCCCTTACCCTAATTTTCATTTTCAATGGGAATTTCCCATTTATTTCACTGCGGCCCACAAAAGAGTCAGAACGAAAAGTTGTTATGTTCTCTTTCCTTTGAGAACTTCTTAGAATCTAGCCCTAACACACTTTTACATCCATGACTTCAAAGTGATCTAACCCTAACCCTAACCCAACTTTCATTTTCATGGTCAATGGGATTTTCCAATGTATGTGCTAGATTCAGCCGGTTCTCTGAACTCAGGAAAAGTTAACTACCAGTTCTGCTGATCCGGTGCGAATCAGCTCTTTTATGGAAAAATGGCTGGTAGTTATTATGTATACTTGTTCTGTCCCAGCCTACGTCCGTCCTTGTTGCATCACAAGAACTAACCCCTCTTTAACAGTAGGCTGGAAAAACCAACCTCTTTTTATTTCCAAAACAGTCCTGATAAGTTTTTCTCCAAAACAAAGATAACAGAATACTTTTCCAAGAGATAATTGGTTACAAATACAAACAGAGCAGGAGTTAAACAAGAAATTCACTGGTAAAACAAACAGACCATGATCCCTGGAAGTTCTTTACAGACGGTTGCCTTCAGCAACCAGCACCGCCCACACCTTCCCCTTTTATAAAGCAGTCCCAAGGCGTGGCTTCTCAATGCCTTCTCCTCCTCCCCTGGAGTTGTCGTATTGACTGCTGCTGACCTGCTCTAGATAATTGCCTGCGTCTATGAGCATCAATCATGTCTATCAGCTGTGAATCCTCCAAGTCTGACTCATCCTCCCCACACAGCTGAGTTTCATCCGGAACACGATTGGATGGGCCAGGCTCTCCATCAGATTGTGAGTCTTGTAATTCATCAGAGCCTCCCTCTGACTCTGATGACTTTCCAAATGCCTCCTCCTCCTCCTCCTCCTCCTCCTCCTCCTCCTCCTCCTCCTCCTCCTCAGATTCCCCGGACTCAGCTGTTGGGAACACAGGCTGGCATGGAATCATAATACTACCAATGAAGGAGAAGCTTGTGTGAGTGGAAGGTACGCACGTTTACCTGCCACTCACCCACACACACTGACCTAGGCTGTGCTGTCAAGCCGGAAAGTTTGGGGACCACTGTTTTAGACTCACTGTGTGTTGAGATGTCATATTTTTTTCTTTTCAGCTAAAATTTCAGTTCTTCTTCCCAGCTGAGATTTCTTTTCTCAAATTTTTATTCATCTGTCCTTCTTTCATACATCTTTGGATTACAAATTATAGGGCCACTTCATTTGCATTAAAGCTCTACTTCAACACTAACTATAGGAGGCATCAAAAGACTAACATTTAAGTATTGAAATTTTCAGAGTATTCCAGAAATGGCATCTAAATTTGCAAGGCTTTTTTTGTTGTTGTTGCTATGCTGGTAATACTGAAATGATAGATTCCTTCATGGGCAGAACCACTTTGGTATAGGGGTTAATGCTCCAGCCTAGAAACTGAGATATTCTGAGTTTTAGTTTCAACTCAAGCACTAAATTAACTGGCGACACTGGGTCAGTCCCTCTCTCTTGACCCTAAAAATGGCCAAGGGCAAATCACTTCTGAAATCTTGAAAAGAAAACTGCAAAGATTTATCCAGGCTGTCGCCAGGAGTCAGGACTGACTCAAGAGCACACATACCTTTTGGGGAGAATAGTACCACAGATTATTTCCAAGGCTCCCTCCATACTTTACATTCATGATGCTGATAAAAACATATTTGTTTGGGAACCTTCGTCTCTTTAATAGAAAAGATGACTCACCAAATGGAAAAAGCTACCAGTGACTTTCACAATAATTTCAAGGGCTTCAATTAACTTCTGGAAGTTTTCGTCTTCAGGAACAAACTGATGGCCAAAACTCAAAGAACATATGACATTAGAAATTGCATGTCGTATTGGAAATGAAGGGTCAAATGGCTGTCCTGCAAATGAAGATATTTGATAATGAATTTCATAAAGAAGAGAACTTCTAAGGGGATGAAGGAAGAAAAATGGAAATTCTGTCAATTTTTTTCAAAAAATTAAAATCAAATCAAATGCATCTCTTTTTATCTGAAACACTGAGAATAGAAAAGATTATTTTCAGACAGACGTGAACCATTTTCATTACCCCAAATTACAGACCTTTTGTTTGTCTAAAGGTCTCCACCAGTTTCTGAGCTGCATCTTCTATTTGATGCTCAATGCTTTTCTTCCCCAGGCCCAGCTTCCGCAGAGAAGTGATGACAATGTGTCTCTGCTGTTTCCAGGTGTGGCCACTGGAGAAAATAATCCCTGTGGGCATCAGCAGACAGTGATAAATTATTCCTGATAACATTCATGTTAAAAAACTAGTTAGGTCTAGTTCTTGCCAAACAGCTATAATGCACATCAAAGCCTTCTAAGATTATGTAATTATGTAATTATGAAGAAGTGATAGAGGGAGTTGAAGTTGCCAGAACCTTGGGCAAGAGTGACCACATCATAATGGAATTCAATATAATGCAAACAGAAGCAATAGAATATAATCCAACCAGTGTCTTAAACTTAAAAGTACTGATTTTAAGAAATTCAGAGAGAGCCTAAGAAAAATTCAATGGATAAAAATCCTAAAGGAGAAAGCAACTCAAGAAGCATGGGAAACTCTGAAAAATATGATAAAAAAGCCCAGTCCAACACAATACCACTAGAAAAGAAAAATAAGAAATCCAAGAAGAAACCAGCATGGTTGCACAAAGATTTCTCTGATAAACTGAAAGAAAAAAGGATAAGTACAAAAAATAGGAAGAGGGACACATAACTAAGGCAGAATATCAGCAGATAGCCAGAATCTGCAAAGATGAAGTCATGAAAGCAAAGGCTCAGAATGAACAAAGACTTGCAAGAAAAGCCAAAGATAATAAAAAAAAGTTTCTTTCCACATATAAATAAGAAGAAAAAAGTCAACGCAACAGTAGGTCCACTAAATAGAGAAGATGGAAAGGAAGTAACAGGCAGTAGAGAGAAAGTAGATCTGCTTAACTCATTCTTTGCATTAGTCTTCACACAAAAAGAAACTATAGCCCAATCTACCAAAACATATATTTCTAATCTGTAAAAGACAGACTAGAAATAAAAATTAAAATAAGCAAGAAAACCATAGGAGAACACCTGTCTGATCTTGATGAATATAAATCACCAGGACCTGATGGATTACATCCCGGAGTTCTGAAGGAACTGGCAGATGTTATCTCAGAACAATTGTGCCATATCTTTCAAAAATCCTGGAGCACTGGGAAGCTACCAGAGGATTGGAAAAGAGCTGATGTGGTTCCTATCTTTTAAAAAAAAAAGGGTGGGTGGGGAAACAGACCTAGGAAATGACAGACCAATTGGCCTAACATCAATATCTGGGAAGATACTGGAAAAAATAATCAAAAACCAGATCTGTGAACATTTAGAAACAAAGTTATAACTAGCAGCCAGCACAGGTTTGTTAAAAACAGATCATGTCAAACCATCTTATTTAATTCTTTGAAAAATGGAGGCTAGCTGCTTAGCAAAGACGGTTCTTGTTTATTGATGAGCAGAACCAGCAACAGCATGCAGTTCTGGGACAGATGACAAAATGGAGTTGAGAGTGGGTGGGTTTTTATACCTTCTTTGGGCTTTGTATTTGAGATGCCTGTTGTGAAATGTACTTTGACCTATGCTTGAGTGTGCCCTTTTAGTATTCTAATTGTTGTTGCCTGACTCCCATTGTGGCTTGGAGGTCATGTCCTGTTCTTGGAGTTGAGTGGAGAATGTAGAGTTTAGGAGTCTTTGTTTTTCTAATCCCATCAGCTCCAGCCTTCTTTGGGAGCTTTGACTGAAAGTGTTTTGCTTATGAATACTGTGGCCACAGTCTTTCTGAATGGATTACCAAATCTCCATTTCTAAAGATTGCCCTCTTCAGGTTTCTGCCTGAGAAAATGTAAATTGGGGCTGTTTCTGCCTAAGATTTTTTTTCCTCTCTATTTTTCCTTCAGGGGAAATATAATATTCTGCCCCTTTTTAATATTAAGAATAAATAATATTTTAATCTGGGGAAGCGGCAGTGGTGGGATTCAAATATGTGAACAATCGGGTCTCTCTGTGGATTCTGCTTCCGGAAGTCCGTTCTGGGCCTGGGCAACAAAAAATTAGCTACCGATTCTACCGAAGTGGTGCAAACCGGCTGAATCCCACTACTGGGAGGGGGGACTTCCTACATTTTTATGGGCTTAAATGCCAATTACTTTGGAGGCAAGCCATCAATAAATGAACAGTTACAATAAAGCTTAGCTAAAACTAACAAATTTAATATATTCTGAGCCATCATGTGATACCTTTTACCTGACTTATTTAATTGATAAATGTTCAGAATCTTTATATTTTTTTTTTAAAAAAAAGACTCAAAACTATGTTCTGGACATTAGACCATGCATGGCTGGGCTTCATTAATGTCATTAATCTCAGAGTTTATAAAGTCAGGCAACAAGGTAGAAAAACCCAGGATATATTCAGTTTGTTAATGCCCATTTGTGAGAAATTATTCTTAGAAAATTGTATTAAGTGGAAGAGAGAAACTGGGAAAATATAGAAGTGCAGTTTTATCAAAATATGAGTAAGCTATATCATTTACAAAGGAGCAGTTTCTAACCCTTAAGGAACCAATTTCTTAAATTTGGAATTCACTACAAATTTGGATTCTTCTCAATCAGATATTGTGAAAGAAATTTCAATTCTTGAAGACATTAAAATCATCTCCCTGCACTTAAGAAGACATGCATGTTCCTTCCTTTTTATCAGGTGATAAAAGAAGGTCAGGTGAGAAGGAGAGGGGGTGAAAGGGTTTTGTAGAAATGAAGGAGGAATAGGGAAAAAAACTTCAAAAAATTAAGATATTACTTGGAGCAGTAGTGGCGAACCTATGGCACGAGTGCCCTTTCTGTGGGCCATCGGCCCAGCCCTACCTCCCCCCACAGCCCCCTCCTCACCAGCAGCCATCCTGGAGGAGAGTCACCCCCGGGTGCGGCCCGTGCAGAGCAGCACAACCAAGCACATGGCAGCTGGGCAGCAGATGATGCTGCAGGGCGCGGGCAGAGGGCATGGCCACCATGGTGCTGCAGGGCCACCTGGGTGATCTGCGGCGGGCCACAGATGGCCCTAAGGGCAGGTGGAGTGAGGGCGGAGCAGGGCGGGGGCGGGCGGGCAGAGAGGGGGAGGGGCGGGTTTTGGGCACTCGGTCTCTAAAAGGTTCGCCATCACTGACTTGGAGAGTCGAGCATGCCACTTTTATAAACAACACATGGCATTGGACATTGAAAGTTGCTGCTTTTGTCATTATGTGAAAACAGCTACAGTGCTATGAAATAATCAGTGCCCTGTGTAAAATTAGCGTCTTTGAAAGTTTGTGTCCTAAACTTTTTTGTTCTTGTGGATCATCAGAAAACTCCAGGTCAAAAAGACTACCTTGTGAATCTTTTTTTTTTTTNAATAAATAAATAAATAAATAAATAAATAAATAAATAAATAAATAAATAAATAAATAAATAAATAAAAATATGCAGAAATCAACTATTTCCCCCCTTTATATTAATATATAGTTATTATACTGTATATACAGGCAGTCGTCAAATGATAATAGTTTATTTAGTGACCATTCAAAGTTTCAATGGCACTGAAAAAATAACTTATGGCCGTTTTTCACACTTGCAACCATTGCAGCATCCCCACGATCATGTGATCAAAATTCAGATGCTTGGCCACTGGCATGTACTTATGACAGTTGCAGTGTCCCAAGGTCACGTGATTCCCTTTTGCGATTTTCTAATAAGCAAAGTCAATGGGGAAGCCAGATTCACTTAGCCACCGTGTTACTAACTTATCAATTGCAGTGATTCACTTAACAACTATGGCAAGAAAGTTCATAAAATGGGGCAAAATTCACTTAAGAAATGTCTCACTTAACAAAAGAATTTTTGGGCTCAGTTATGGTCATAAGTCGAGGATTACCTGTCTGTATAAGGAAGCCATCAAGAGTTACCTGATGGTAAGATGTGTGGCAAATAATAAATAAATAAATAAATAAATAAATAAATAAATAAATAAATAAATAAATAATAAATAAATAAGGTTTTTATCACTTTTAACATTGCAAGCCACCAGAGACACTTCATGATGAGATGAGTGGCAAACAAATTTAGTAAATCCTCCTCCTCCTCCTCATCCTCATCCTCATCCTCATCATCCTACTCCTCCTCATCATCATCATCCCTGGTCCTTGGAAAGGACTCAATAGATATTAATGGTCTGGTCATACAGATAGAATTTGTGAAAAACGAATTTGCAAAATCTGGAGGAAGAGACCAAATATAAAGGAAAAGGGAGGGACTGAAGAGACAAGGGAAGATGGAGAAAGTGTTAGTTAAATGGAGATGATGAGAGCCTCCAAAAAAGAGGTAGATGTTTAGTGAAAAAGTAGTAATGTCTAAATCAATGTATGAATATAATGGACCAGATAGAAAGCTATGGAGGTGTACAATAATTTGGTGCAAAGTGGATTAAGTAATATTTCTTTTGCTTATCTCATGTCGATTAAATTATTTTGGTTACTATGCCTAATTTCCCCCCAATACTGCGAATAATCTTACCAGTAGTTATCATTATTATAGGGGGAGGGTTATTTACATACAATTTCTTACTACTTGCACTTACCCAATCCTTTCCCTATAGCAGTCAAGAAAGCATCATCCGGTCGATCAGAGAATTCCTGTGGGAAGCTGGTCATTCCTTCTTTCACAGCTTTGAATCCAGACAGCACTACTAGAAGGTGATGTCCAATCCATATGGAGTATATATTTCCATATCGTTTTGCAGGCTGCCAAGTGAATCAAAGTTGAGAAATGTTACAATCAAATAAAACAGACTCTTTATACTTATTACACCCAGGGCTTAGAACGCCCATAACGGAGTTCCGGCACCTTTTTTGGATGGAACCTTGTAGGGTAGGCAAGGCGGGTTATAAGACGTGTGTGAGTTCCGGCACCTTTTTTTTTTTTTTTTTTTTTTACAAAAAAAGCACTGATTATACCCACCTACAGTTTTTCTTAAATCCTCAATTCTAAGACCTTTCACCATATGCAATTCTCTGCTCTTTAGAATTCTTTTTTCTCCAAGATCCCTGCCAAGAACTTCTTTATCTACTTTTTTTTTAAAAAAATGCTGGGATGTTCCTTTCTCTGTGTTTCTACTTGAAGTCCACCTTCTCCCATCTAATAATAATAATAATAATAATAATAAAGTTGGAAGGGACCTTGGAGGTCATCTAGTCCAACTCCCTGCTCAGGCAGGAAACCCTATACCATTTCAGACAAATGGCTGTCCAGTCTCTTCTTAAAAACATCCAGTGTTGGAGCATTCACCCCTTCTGGAGGCAGGTTGTTCCACTGGTTAATTGTTCTAACTGTCAGGAAGTTTCTCCTTAGTTCTAGGTTGCTTCTCTCCTTGATTAGTTTCCATCCATTGCTTCTTGTCCTGCCTTCAGGCGCCTTGGAAAATAGCTTGACTCCCTCTTCTTTGGGGCAGCCCCTGAGATATTGGAATACTGCTATCATGTCCCCCCTCGTCCTTCTCTTCATTAAACTAGACATACCCAATTCCAGCAGCCTTTTCTTATATGCTTTAACCTCCAGTCCCCTAATCATCTTTGTTGCTCTTCTCTGTACTCTTTCTAGAGTCTCAACATCTTTTTACATCATGGTGACCAAAACTGGATGCAGTATTTCAAGTGTGGCCTTACTAAGGCATTGTAAAGTGGTATTAATACTTCACGTGATCTTGATTCTATCCCTCTGTTAATGCAGCCCAGCATTGTGTTGGCCTTTTTGGCAGCTGCAGCACACTGCTGGCTCATATTTAAGTGATTGTCTACTAAGACTCCAAGGTCCCTCTCACAATTACTACTATTGAGCAAGGTAACCCCTATACTATACCTGTACATTTGGTTTTTCTTGCCTAAATGTAGAACCTTACTTTTTTCACCATTGAATTTCATTTTGTTAGATTTTTGTCTGTTTGCTCCCTTCTCCCATGCCTCAAATGAGAGATGGTCTTCTTACTGCCCACTCCTCCTGTGACTGACAGATATGTGAGCCAATGGTTGTCTGAAACAGATTGTCCATGAATCACATTTTTTGAGCCCTACACTTTGAATGGTTTGCAAAGGCTTTTTCAACCTCTTTATTCTCTGCTTTTTTAAGCCATCAACTGCTCAACTTTCCAACTGATTGTTATATTGAGAGACAGTCTACAGACTTTGTTGTGACCTGATCTAGTGTTCTTCATCAGATGGGTTGCAACCTGAATTAAGATTGGCCACAAGAGCAACTCAATCTCCATAAAACTAATTTGTAAAAATCGATCATCTTCCTTGTAATATGTGATCCATGCAGATAGGTTGGACTAGAAGACCTCCAAAGTCCCTTCCAACTCTGTTATTCTATTATTCTGTTAGTCTGGAGGATAACCTTGTTAGTCAAACCCAAATCCAAAAGAGTTTAGTAACACTATTACAATCTATAGAGAGCCTTATGAAATTGCTGGTAGATTTCACAACAGGCATCTGAAACACAAAGCCCAAAGAAGGTATAAAAACCTACCCACTCTTAATTGCATTTTGTCAGCTGTCCCAGAACTGCATGCTGTTGCTGGTTCTGCTCATCAATAAACAAGAACCTTCTTTATTAAGCAGTTAGCCACCATTTTTTATTCCCAGCTTAGAACTGGACCTGGTTTTTCTTTCAACAAGCCTTTTCTCATTCCAATTGAATCATCTGATGTTTGCTTGTTATTCTAGCATGCCAGAATAAGTATTAAATAATAAGGAGTATTACCAGCATGATTCTGCAAAACATAGCATATGATTTAATATGGTAAACTGTGTTCTGGGTTCTCTTAGGCCAAGAAGAAAAAGGGAATGAACACCCAAACTATACATGCATCAGATGCAAATTATGTGAACTACTACAGGAAAAGGTTAGGAACTTAGAAGCAACTCTAGCCAAACCCCAACATATGAAAGAAAGCGCCACCCAAACTGAACCAAACAACAAACAAATAACTTCCAGATGACTTGACCCTACCAATAAACCCTTGGAGGAAGACAAATGGAGGAATGCCACACAAAGAAGGAAGCACAATACCCAAAGAAAGAAACAGCATACAACAAACAAACCCCCTCTGCCCAATCCTACCCAACTGACCAATCGATTTCTCCCCTTAGACAGAAACACACAGACCCACACCCCCCCCCTCAAAGAAGACATGCAGACACCTAGCAAAAAAACAACTTCAAATATCCCTAAAAATGCCACATCGATAAATACACCTGGGATAAAACAGAGATGTGGTAATTTGGATGCAACTTATTATCATATTTGGTGGACATGTAGGGATGTTAAAGCTTTTTGGATTAAGATTTGGTGGAATCTTCAACAGATTTTTAAGAAGAAGATAAAATTTACACCGCAATTATTTCTATTGGGCATTATGGACAATCTGGACTCAAATGAAGTGAATTTGATGTTGTACTGTATAACAGCAGCAAGGACATTGATTGCTCAAAATTGGAAAAAGGAGACATTACCGAATATGGACGATTGGAGACAGAAAGTTTCATATTTTGCAGAAATGGCAAAAATATCCGCATACCTGAAGGATCAATATCAAGAGAAATTTATTCTGGTATGGAGAAGATGGATAGATTATATTCAGAGAAAATATGAAATGAACAATTACCATATAGCTTTTGATTAATTATGGTTACTTATAAATATTTTTATATTTAAGTTAAATATATAGTTCATAGTTAAGGTGATTGTATGTTAGAGTTAAAGTAAGTTTATACTTGTTTATATTATGGTTAGGTTGTTTGGGTTAAACTTGGATTATTATATGTTTAATCCTGTACTCAGCTCTGGGAAGTCAGGGGGGGAGGGGTAAGGGGATTAGGGGATTAAAATTATAAAAATTGATGTATTTATATGTTATAGGTGAATAATAATTGTATTGAAAAAAGGAGATGCTCGGCTGGTGCCCCAAATTGCACTCGAAGAGGCGGTTAAGAAGGGAGAGGGGATGTAGTTAGGTGGAAAGGAGGAAGGTGGAGAGGTTGTGGGAATAGAGGGAGGAAGGACAGGAAAGTGAATGACGGTGGAGGCAAGGCGGGGACCGCCGAGCGTCTCCGAAAATGTATTGATCTGGATTATTTTTTTTATTGCTTGTATATGTAAATGCATCATATTGATATTTGCTGTTTAATTACAAAAATTAATAAAACTTTATTCAAAAAAAAGTGACTTATGACTATTTTCACACTTACAATCATTGCAGCATCCCCATGATCATGTGATCAAAATTTTTCCCCAACATGATATTACACCAGAATTATTTTAAAATTATGGTGTCAAAGTTCTGACTGAAAAACCCAAACCAGCAAACACATTTGAGACGTTCCGATCTCTTAATGTTAAACTTTATTGATTATGTCATTTTAGCACCTATGAACGCAAAACCATCTCTGGCTAACCCAGCTTTGTCATAGCCCCTAAAATGACAGAGTAATTTTAGGTCTGTCTTGGTTAGACAAATGGAAACCTTTCATCTGGTGGGAGAAGGGGATGAGAAGGAAGTTTTTCCACCCAGTATGTACCAAAGGGTGAAATTGAAACGATTAAAGTATTGCGCCCAACAAATTTGTTTAGGGGAGAGTTTGCAGGGAGTTTTCAATGCCACTAAGTTTTTGTGATCAGTCCATACTTCAAATGGCAATTTGCTCCCCTCCAGGAAATGGTGCCATGTTAGTAAAGCCCATCTAATAGCAAAAGCTTCTTTTTCCCAAATGGCCATTGGCGCTCTGCTTCAGTGAACTTCTTTGAAGTGTAAGCACGGGGTTGTAAAAGTCCATCATGTTTTTTCCGCAACAAAACTGCCCCCATGGCTACATCACTAGCTTTGTGACAACAGAAGAAACTGTAGCCATTTTACTTTTGTTATTCATTGTAACTTTCCACTCTGTAGTTGGGTTTTTTTCATGTAGCCAGAATAAGGGGGGAGGGAGAGGTATGAGTGTTCTTAGTTAGTAAAAACAATTGCAGCTGCAGAAAAAATCAAGGTCATTGTGAGCAAAGAATTTTGGCGGTAAGAGGGTGGGGGAAAAAAACCTGCACTTATTTGTAATTGGGGAATGTGATGTGTGACAACTTGGGTTGGTCACATTGAACAGGTCACACTGAACAGGTCACATTGCCCAATTAGTGCAATTATATTGTTATGAGAAAATGTCTCTGAGTCAAGTTAGACTACTGGTGAATCATCCTTGGTTCTCATGGTCTGCCTTTTTTTTAATCTTTGTAGCCTGTATCCCATTACCCCATCCTCCCTCTCAGTTGGCAAGCTGGGAAGCAATAATTGTCATGCAGCAAAGCATGCTTCAGGCTTGACACATGGTATACCACATGTACATGAAATGTATCTGAATACAAAGTAGAATCTTTTGGGTCACAGAGATATTATTTAGTATTTAGACTAATGCATATACTTGAAAGCCTATCATCAGGACATTATCATGAAAAAAAATTCAGTCATCTTGCCCTGCAAATAAAGGAACATCTTTATGAGGGCATTATAGTGTTGGATAACCACCTTTGGATCTATGGAGATGATCACACTTTTGCAACTAAAACAAGTGAAGCCTTCATCCTAATCATTTGGAGCTGTTGTAATTGATCCTGCAGCAAGTGTTATTGATTGAAAACTGTCCTTAATCCAAGCATCAAAGTATAATTATTGAGCTATAGATAGTTAGCAACACCTACCTAG